TATCCCTCTCTCTCTTTATCCCGCTCTCTCCTCTCTCTCTCTCTATCACTCTCTCTCTACTCTCTCTCTATCCCGCTCTCTCCTCTCTCTCTCTCTATCCCGCTCTCTCTACTCTCTCTCTCCTCTCTCTCTCTAGCCCTCTCTCTCCTCTCTCTCTCTCTATCCCGCTCTCTCTACTCTCTCTCTCCTCTCTCTCTCTAGCCCTCTCTCTCCTCTCTCTCTCTCTATCCCACTCTCTCTACTCTCTCTCTCTACTCTCTCTCTATATCCCGCTCTCTCTACTCTCTCTCTCCTCTCTCTCTCTAGCCCTCTCTCTCCTCTCTCTCTCTCTATCCCACTCTCTCTACTCTCTCTCTCTACTCTCTCTCTCTATCCCACTCTCTCTACTCTCTCTCTCTACTCTCTTTCTATATCCCGCTCTCTCTACTCTCTCTCTCTACTCTCTCTCTCCTCTCTCTCTCTAGCCCTCTCTCTCCTCTCTCTCTCTCTATCCCGCTCTCTCTACTCTCTCTCTCTACTCTCTCTCTCCTCTCTCTCTCTAGCCCTCTCTCTCCTCTCTCTCTCTCTATCCCGCTCTCTCCTCTCTCTCTCTCTAGCCCTCTCTCCTCCATCTCTCTCTCTCTCTCCTCCTTCTAGGTAACTGAGTAATCTTTATTTATATAGAGCCTTTCAAAGACCAGAGTCACAGAGCACTTTACAATTGTTTTTTGTATGTGCCTCCCCCTCTCTCTCTACTCTCTCTCTGTCTCTCCCTCTCTCTCCCTCTCTCTCTACTCTCCCTCTCACACCCACCCCCCCTTCTCCTCGAGGCAGAATCCTTTCATTCACTCTCTCTCCCCCTCTGCTCCTCATGACACTTCATTCACTCGCTCGCCCTTTGAAGAGTAGCTTCACACATAAATGTAGGTCACTCGCCCGAGGACAGAGAACCCAAACGCAGAAACACGGGAGTCGAACTGGCAACCGTTGAACTGGCAACCTCAGTCACACGCTCTCACGGGCTGCACTCATCTCAGAGACAAAGACTTTTTCTCACGCTCAGATTTGACTCGATACAAGACGCTGCAGTGAAACCTTTGTGAATGTAGCATGGTTAGCATGATAAAGACCATGTGACATCACAGCTGGTTTGTGTCCTGTGACCTGCAACACTGACATTTCTTCACTGAGACAAATGAAGTTTTATTTTATTTTTGGTCAAACGATTTTCATCCCATTTTCACAGTTTGTTTTTGCAATGACACAGATTCGTTCTCTCTCCTCTCCTGGTGCAGGACCAGGACCAGGATCTCTGGTCTCTTTCTGGTCTCTCTTTTGTCTCTGGTCTCTCTTTTTTCTTTGTCTGGTCTCTCTCTTTGCTCTCTCTCTCTCTGGTCTCTCTGTGGCCGCTCTCTGGTCTCTCTCTGGTCTCTCTCTGGTCTCTCTCTGGTCTCTCTCTGGTCTCTCTCTGGTCTCTCTCTGGTCTCTCTCTGGTCTCTCTCTGGCCTCTCTCTGGTCTCTCTCTGGCCTCTCTCTGGTCTCTCTCTGGTCTCTCTCTGGTCTCTCTCTGGTCTCTCTCTGGTCTCTCTCTCTGGTCTCTCTCTGGTCTCTCTCTCTGGTCTCTCTCTGGTCTCTCTCTCCGGTCTCTCTCTGGTCTCTCTCTATCTCTCTTTTGTCTCTGGTCTCTCTTTTTTCTTTGTCTGGTCTCTCTCTTTGCTCTCTCTCTCTGGTCTCTCTGTGGCCGCTCTCTGGTCTCTCTCTGGTCTCTCTCTGGTCTCTCTCTAGTCTCTCTCTGGTCTCTCTCTGGTCTCTCTGTGGCCGCTCTCTGGTCTCTCTCTGGTCTCTCTCTGGTCTCTCTGTGGCCTCTCTCTGGTCTCTCTCTGGTCTCTCTCTGGTCTCTCTCTGGTCTCTCTCTGGTCTCTCTCTGGTCTCTCTCTCTGGTCTCTCTCTGGTCTCTCTCTCCGGTCTCTCTCTGGTCTCTCTCTGGTCTAAAACAATTTTCTCCAAACCTCCGGTGTACCATGTGTGTGTGTGTCTGTGTGTGTGTTGCTGGTACCTTCTTCCACAGTAGAGTCCAGTTGTGTGACCTTGACAGCCAGTTGGTCCACTCTCTCCTGCAGCCCGCTCATGCGAAGGTAGAAGCTGTTGGCCTCGTTGAACAACTCCCCAAAGATGTCCTCCGCATGGCGACCTGAGGGCAGGGAGGGGTCAGACGGCAGCAGCGGCTCCACCCCGAGCTCCTGCAGCGGCTCTACCCCGAGCACCTGCAGTGTGTGACTGAGCTCCAAGATACCTGCTTTATCCTTGTTGTCAGGGATTTAAAAAAATGTTGCACAGTGGAACGTTTATCAATGCTAAACACAGAGTAGCTAGCTGTTAGCATGGACGTTAGCCTAGCATGGACGTTAGCTTAGCATGGACTTTAGACATAGTAGAGACACCCATAGACTCAGAAAGTGACGGCTTCAACATTAGACCTTAACCTTAGATCTTACTGAGGCTGCCCATCTTTAACCTTAGAGTTTTAGAGTTTTAGATCTTACTGAGGCTGCCCATCTTTAACCTTAGAGTTTTAGAGCTTACTGAGGCTGCCCAGCTGCTTGATGATGGCGGCCAGGGTGGAGTTGGTGACACACTCCAGTTCAGAGGTGACTCCATCAGGGACCGCTCCTCGACACAGATGACGAGGCTCGATGCTCCTCTTCACCAGCGGCATCGTCACGGCTACAGGAGGAGGAGAGGAGGAGGAGAGGGGGAGGAGAGGGGGAGGAGAGGAGAAGAAGAAGAAAAAGTCAGCCTCCACACACACGTCCCCCCAACCCTTCAACAGAAGTGTCCTCAAGCTCATCAGGAATATCAGTATTTTAATTGGATTTGTTTTGTTTTTATTTATGGAGGGAGCACATAACTCCGGTGTTACAATCACTCCACTGGCTTCTGAGTACAGAATAAAGTTTAAAATCCTTCTTTTAACATACAAAGCCATAAATGGCTTGGCTCCCTCTTATCTCCAAGACATGTTAATGTCATATCAACCAAGTCGAGCGCTGCGCTCACAAAACGCCAGACGTCTGGAGGTCCCTCATCATTCACGAACCGTTCTTAAGAACAGCATTCATGACATTTTCTCGTAACCAGAATTTCTCTTGAGTAAGTACAAATCCTACGGATGCACAAGAGCACTCTTACGCACATTCAGTGCCGACATGTTCGCACGCTGGTGTTATGAAGTTCAATAAAACACTATTGATGTATGTATTTATTTATTTCATTGTAAATAGTAATTTAGCCTATTTTTTAATTCATTTTGAAATGAAATGTGCCAACGCTTTATCAAATACATTGGAAATCTTGCCGTGTATTAGTGACCCCTTCCTATTATAGGGGGCATTTCTTTATCCACGGGCCACAGAACAACGGCATATATACTGCTGCTGCAGGAGGTTACTGGGTCCGCTCTGAGTCTCTGCGCTGGTCTCTCCTATGGATCTATACGGGTCTGCACTGGTCTCTCCCATGGATCTAGACGGGTCTGCACTGGTCTCTCCCATGGATCTATACGGGTCTGCACTGGTCTCTCCCATGGATCTATACGGGTCTGCGCTGGTCTCTCCCATGGATCTATACGGGTCTGCACTGGTCTCTCCCATGGATCTATACGGGTCTGCACTGGTCTCTCCCATGGATCTATACGGGTCTGCACTGGTCTCTCCCATGGATCTATACGGGTCTGCACTGGTCTCTCCCATGGATCTATACGGGTCTGCGCTGGTCTCTCCCATGGATCTATACGGGTCTGCGCTGGTCTCTCCCATGGATCTATACGGGTCTGCACTGGTGTCTCCCATGGATCCATACGGGTCTGCACTGGTGTCTCCCATGGATCCATACGGGTCTGCACTGGTCTCTCCCATGGATCTATACGGGTCTGCACTGGTCTCTCCCATGGATCTATACGGGTCTGCACTGGTCTCTCCCATGGATCCATACGGGTCTTCACTGGTCAACATTTTATAACTTTATTCTCAGTCTGGCAAAAGAAGAAAAAAGGGCGACTCTTTTGCTCCGTGTAACTCTTTTCTTTAGGCCTGTTGCCGTTTCCTCTGGCGTCTGCACACGGCCCTTCAGTCCCTTATATGGGCATTAATGGGCGGTTACCTATGCTAAGTACCTATGCTAATGAAGCACCGGGCACGCGCGCTGTACTTAAGAGGAGATGGCATTCATCAATCTGAGAGAACAGCTGCGAACAATTCAGCGGCTTACAAGCGCGTTGATGAATCCCACGAAGGCTCTTCTTAGAAATCTACTTAAAAACGACTTGAGAAGAAATTTAAGAAGTTTCTTACAACGTTATTCGTGAATGAGGCCCATTGTCTCTACATTTAAGACTATACTCTCTCTGGTCTCTCTCTCTGGTCTCTCTCTCTCTGGTCTCTCTCTCTCTGGTCTCTCTCTCTGGTCTCTCTCTCTGGTCTCTCTCTCTGGTCTCTCTCTCTCTGGTCTCTCTCTCTGGTCTCTCTCTCTGGTCTCTCTCTCTGGTCTCTCTCTGCTCTCTCTCTGGTCTCTCTCTCTGGTCTCTCTCTGGTCTCTCTCTGGTCTCTCTCTGGTCTCTCTCTCTGGTCTCTCTCTTTGGTCTCTCTCTCTGGTCTCTCTCTGTTCTAGCCGCCATTTTGTTCCCACACTGTTGTTGTTGTTGTTGTCGTTGTCGTGACGACCGGCCGATGAAAGTAGAACAATCACATTCTAACTTTGGTTCCAACACACACAGATCCGTGAGGACGAGAGAGAATGTGGGACACAGATATTTTAGGACAGACCCCAGAGCTTCAGATCCACGCTGAAACCCCCGCCCCTTCTGTCTCAATGCTCCGTGTTCAAACTCAGCCCTGGTGCTTCAGCCCAATGTCAGAGGGTGGCGTGTTGTTTGGACCCGTGTCAGCTTCTCATCATCAGATAGGCAAATAAAAGAGTCAAAATATTTTCAGTATAAGTCTTCTAGGACCAGAGAGAGAGACATTAGAGAGAGACACTAGAGAGAGAGACATTAGAGAGAGAGAGAGACCAGAGAGAGACACTAGAGAGAGACCAGAGAGAGACACCAGAGAGAGACCAGAGAGAGAGACCAGAGAGAGAGACCAGAAAGAGACACCAGAAAGAGAGCAGAGAGAGACACTGAAGAGAGAGACCAATGAGAGAGACCAGAGAGAGACACTAGAGAGAGAGACCAGAGAGAGACACTAGGGAGAGAAACCAATGAGACCAGAGAGAGACCAATGAGAGAGACTAGAGAGAGATCAATGAGAGAGACAAGAGAGAGACACTAGAGAGAGAGACCAATGAGAGAGACCAGAGAGAGACCAATGAGAGAGACCAATGAGAGAGACACTAGAGAGAGAGACAAGAGAGAGACACTAGAGAGAGAGACCAGAGAGAGACACCGGGGAGAGAGACCAGAAAGAGAAAAACATTAAAATGGACTAAGTTTCTCCTCCACATGGAACAATACAAACACATTCAAACATATTATTCACAAGGACAACTTTATAAAGGAAAGAGCAGAACATGCAACAGCCCCAACTCTGGCGGTGGGAGCTTCATTCACCCAAACACGGCTCCACGGCTCGTTCCGCTGTCATTATGCAGCGTATCGTCCCTGGTGTCTGAGCAGGGTGATCTCACATCTATTCCTAGGTCTGTGTTCTGGCTTCTTCTGGTGCATTATCACAGTGTGGGCTGAGGCTGCGTCAATAAAACATTTTCAATCCGAGGTGTTGTGTCAGTGATGGTTTTATGGGACACAGAGAGAAGAGAGAAGGAGAGAGAGAGAGAGAGAGAGAAGGAGAGAGAGAGAGAGAGAGAGAGAGAGAGAGAGAGAGAGAGAGAGAGAGAGAGAGAGAGAGAGAGAGAGAGAGAGAGAGAGACAGAGAGAGAGCGGAGAGAGAGGAGAGAGAGAGAGAGAGAGAGAGAGAGAGAGAGAGAAGGAGAGAGAGAAGGAGAGAGAGAGAGTGAGAGAGAGAGAGAGAGAGAGAGTGAGAGAGAGAGAGCGAGAGAGAGAAGGAGAGAGAAGGGAGAGAGAGAGAGAGAGAGAGAGAGAGAGAGAGAGAGAGAGAGAGAGAGAGAGAGAGAGAGAGAGAGAGAGAGAGAGAGAGAGAGAGAGAGAGCGAGAGAGAGAGAGAGAGAGAGAGAGAGAGAGAGAGAGAGAGAAGGAGAGAGAGAAGGAGAGAGAGAGAGTGAGAGAGAGAGAGAGAGAGAGTGAGAGAGAGAGAGCGAGAGAGAGAGAGAGAGAGAGAGAGAGAGAGAGAGAGAGAGAGAGAGAGAGAAGGAGAGAGAGAAGGAGAGAGAGAGAGAGAGAGAGAGAGATCAGAGAGAGAGAGACCAGAGACTAGAGAGAGAGACCAGAGACTAGAGAGAGAGACCAGAGAGAGACCAGAGAGAGACCAAAGGGAGACCAGAGAGAGACTAAGGAGGGACCAGAGAGAGACCAGCGAGAGAGACTAGAGAGAGACCAGAGAGAGACCAGAGAGAGACCAGAGAGAGACCAGAGAGAGACCAGAGAGAGACCAGAGAGAGACCAGAGAGAGACCAGAGAAAGACCAGAGAGAGAGACCAGAGAGAGACCAGAGAGAGAGACCAGAGAGAGAGACCAGAGAGAGACCAGAGAGAGACCAGAGAGAGACCAGAGAGAGACCAGAGAGGGTCAGAGAGAGACCATAGAGAGACCAGAGAGAGACCAGAGAGAGACCAGAGAAAGACCAGAGAGAGAGACCAGAGAGAGACCAGAGAGAGAGACCAGAGAGAGAGACCAGAGAGAGACCAGAAAGAGACCAGAAAGAGACCAGAGAGACCAGAGAGACCAGAGAGAGACCATAGAGAGACCAGAGAGAGACCAGAGAGAGACCAGAGAAAGACCAGAGAGAGAGACCAGAGAGAGACCAGAGAGAGACCAGAAAGAGACCAGAAAGAGACCAGAGAGACCAGAGAGATACCAGACTGTTTCTCTTTCATAAATAACACATAGTAAATAACAAAGGCGACACTATATTTGTCTTCTCCTCATTTGAAAACGTACAGGAAGTGTACGAGTCCCCCCCCATGCCCCCCCTCCACATCACCTCCCAGGGCCCCTCCCCCTCCTAGAGCCCCTCCCCCTCCTCTTCCTCCTCTTTCTCTTCCTCCTCATCCTTTAATCAGATTAACTTCAGCCATTTGTTTGAAAGACGCAAAAGCAGCTCTGAGTCTGTGGGATTAAAACGTGTGATGTCGCGATCCTCAGGAGTAAAACCATCTTGGACCCACACTGTCCTTAGACCAGGCAAGTCCAACCTCAGGCCCCGGGGCCAACTGCGGCCCTCAATGTCCCTCTATGTGGCCCAACTTCAGCTCAGCGACACAGACCTCATCTAAAGCCCATACGTCTGGAATTCAGTCGTTTCTTAATACAAACTATACCGACGTGTTTTTGATTGTGTCACTTCCGTTAATGTTGCTAATGTTGCTGGTGAGACGGTAAACATGTGTCATTCAGCCAACTTCAGCTCTGTCATAGGTCGTTTTAAATCTCAGAACAGCCCGATGCCAGTCAAGACAGTTTCTGAGTCTGTGATGTCGCCCCTGGACTAGTCTGCTGAACGAATGTGGCCCTCTAACTAAACTGTTTGGACACCCCTGCTGTACACAGATGGGCAATGCTAACACGCTAGCTCGACGTAGCAC